GTCTCAACGTATCATGTTCAATTATGCATCAGTGCAAAAGTGACAGCTATCACTTCACGATACGGTGTGAACAGCGTTTTTAATCGTTACGAGAGCGGGCCTAATTGCGTATTAATCGGTAGTAAGCAAATTTGCAATCGGCTTAAATACGAACGCCGATCGATATTCTCGAACTCGCTGCAAAACCGTAAACGAAAGAACGCTCGAGATACGTATAAATCGATAGCCGAGCAGCGTGATCCCCTTAAACGGATATGTCAGTCAGTAAAAGCTACATTCCGCTGAGTAACGTTGTTCCCGGGCTCGGGGAAATTAAGGATACGATGTAGGCAGCGGGTTAAGAGCGATTAAAACCGATGATAAGCGTAGAAAAGGTACGTGGTACATAGACGGAGCGTTGTCGGATGCTGTCATGATAGGTAATATTGGCAGAAAATATGTAGGGAATAAAATAGACTCTATTTACGCTTTTTTCCTTCTGATAATAACGAAAAACATTTTCAAAGCACAAGGATGTAACGGAGGAAGTTTTATAGACTCGAAATGCAACGCAATGAGTGCGGTTAGAGATTGATACTTTCAATCGCTGGAAATGTAACCTCATCCCGCGAGAAGAAATCAGGGATTGTAGTCAATCGCGATTTCTCGTTCGAGTCGAGACGCGATAAAGGGAAAACGTCTTGGATGGATATGACCGCAAAAGCAGAATCGTTCAATTTGGCGGAATCCATCTGATAGCGCGTCCATCTCATGCTCCTCAAAAGGATATGACTTGCAAGAAAACGCTAACACCCCTAAACGACCCCTATATTTGTATTTATCGTAAATCGTGCGCTGATCTAGTTCTTCGTAAACATAATCTATCTTTGTCAATTATTGAAACGCTATCGAGACGGTATTATCAAATTAACTCGACTTTATCGAGTTTCGATTTATAAATCTCTATTTTTACATTAATAAATATTTAACTTTCTTAATCTCTTCAATCTGAGATTATATTATCGCGATGTAAAATTGTAATAGAAGAGAAGCTTTTAAAAAATATATATAGAAATTTGGTGAATATATATGAGATGTATACATATCACATAGAAATTTTTGGTTGTATAACAAATTTATCTTATTAAATGATCTTTATTCTTACTCTGGTTCAAATTCTATTTTAATTTATTTGATCAATTTTCATTATATTTTATTTTTTCTCTAAAAATCGATTATTTCGGATATAGTCTAGCTTTCCCTTCTTTCTGTATATATATAAATTAATGCTCGCTATTGCTTTTTTCGTAATCCGTATGAAATGAATGAAAACATATCTTTTTTAGCCTTGGTGGCATTAGATATGAAGTCCCTCGAAATTCTATCCATTTCGATATCTACCCTTTTACACGTTTAGTTCCACGTTTAATCAACCAACGATATAGTCGTGGGTTCGAAACAACGAAATGTTTTTAAAAAGTATTCGATCGTCCAATCGACTCTACGTTCGATGTCGCTACGTTGGCGACCATCTCGAGCCACGAAAGAAGTAAAGATAAGTATGCATTTGAATGGGTATGAATATACGTCTCGGAATTATTCAATTTCATGGAAGGTGTCAAGCGACACATATTTATCTCGCGCTCGCTGAAAGGGTTAAGCAACGGATGACCGTATGGAATAGCGACGCCTCGCATTCCAAAGTGAGAAGTAAAGATAATGCGATAGTGCTGCGGTGTAAACTCCCGGGGCCCGATGGAAAGGAACGTTTGCGTGACGAGAGTGACGATAAGGATTTACGAGGCCCGATGGAGTAGGAAAAGGCGGATGAACGACGGACTACGCTATTTTTACGAGAGTCGCTAGATCTTCTCATTGGCTTTTCCATCGTATAAGGAATTCGCACTATCTTCTTTCTTTCGGTAACAATTGTTCCCGGAGAATCCGAGACTAAACCCGTACGCACGAAAATTACCGGCCTTTATCTAAGCACTCTCTTTTATTGCGATTGTCTACAGTAATTCATACTCGCTCGATTATCGTGGAAATCGTTAAAATCCTCTCAAAAAACTGGAGCGCGTTCTCGCGCTAGAATTGAAACGATTCGAAAATTCGAAAACCGCGAGAAAAAATGAACGAGTTACGAGATCAATTTTTTGGCATAAATTATCAATCGCTTTGTATTCACTTCGATACATCTCTGATGTCATCTTGTCGTTTTTACGCTTTGACATTGAGCTACTAACGTGCCATAGTTTTCGACATGTGAATGCATCAATACATTCTTCTCGATGCTCTTTGCAAGTCTTATGTTCCATTCTTTCCCAACCCCCATATTAATGGCAACGATCTCGTAAACAACATAGACTCGATGGCGAAAAAGTATATCGCACGACTAACCGTTTCTCGCGCAAGAAAAGTATCGTAAAATCGGCACAGGATTATTTCACGTGGGGTTCTATAAACGGACACTGGCATACACCGACTCTTAAATCAACGAGCTTCGGCATAAAGACATCTCCGGGTTTCCTTCGCATGCGAGAGATCGTAGAAAGCATGCCCGCGCTACAAGCTCTGTACGCATCGAATGATCGTACGCATATATATCGTGAAAATTTAAGGCCCGCCAGCTTAGACCGGATGTATAAAAGCATAAACAATGGTCTTGATAATCTGATCTCCGCGTGCGATGTTTTCGCCACACCAAGTGCCAAGCACGCCGACACGCGTGTGCGTACATACATGTGGGAGGCCAGATAGGCGGTCAGGAAGCGGGATCTGGTAAAGGGATAAAGGATGACAAAAAACATTCGCATCCTTTTTATTATTTCGTGTAAGAGCGGAGTGTGGATTTTCTCCGAATAAACAAGCATTAGTCATGCGGATTCTTGTGTTCCATGTGATTAACGTGAACAGACCACTGGATACGAAAATTATTACGTACCTCATAGTATGAGCTAAGCATAATGTTAATGCGTTAAATCAACATGTAAGTTCTCTAAAACAATATTGCTATTCACGAGTGAATTCATGTCAGAAGGTTCCACGTATCAAGAGAGTTCAAATAATGAAATATATTCGTCTCTTTAAATCAATGTGACACGAAAAAATCAGCTATTATTATAAGTAAATCTATCTTTTTTTAACTAGGGGGAAAAACTTTTTTCAGCTACGAATAATTGAGAAAATCATCATTTTCCGTCTACAAATATTTGAAACCAACGAAGAAGCGAACAAAAATTAGAGAAAGCATTGAAGAAACACGCTAACGGGAAAACGCGTGAATTGAAATTCGACATGCGAGTTCAGTTAGTCCGGACATCGGCGTCATCGTCTCGAAGGGAAGAAGACGACACGCGTTTCGGAGACATAAGGTGATTGGTATTCCGGCGCGACCAAACTATCCAGCGGTACTGTTAAGAGCGATTTACGATAGTAATAGACCGGCCCTCGGCGGCCGACCATGAATGCTAATACGCGTTATACGTGGGTGCTGCGTGGCAAATTCAATCAAAATCCTACTATGCGAACGGGCCCACATTCGGTCTTTCTAACGCGCTGTATTGTCCGGCGCCATCTCAAAATCCGCTTTCTATTTTCATTGTTTTCTTTGTCAGCGTTCACGTCTCTTCCTTTTTGATGCGACTTTGGAAGCTAATAATAGTACGACTTTGGAAGTTAATATCTTTTCCGCATCATAAGCCACGATATTAATAGTCTTGGATAAATATTATAATATATAGCCAAACATATTTTTCGAGATATTATAAGTAATAAATGCGCACATTGTTATCTTGTCGCTCATTCCATATGCGAAATATTTCATTCTCTATCTTTTGTACATGGAGATTAATAATTTAACATGTTAATGGAGTATTTAAATGCAGATTGGAATATGATTCATATCAAGTTCGTTGCTTTGAAGGTAATTGTGCATGTTAATTGCAAGGGATTAATCAAATATTGAAAACGTCAGTAAACATTTCGCGTATGTAATAATATCGAGAATCGTTTCACGATAAAGTACGGCAGATACATTCGTGATGCGAGTGTAAATATCGTGTTGAAATACCGGTTTGTGTCGTCTGTCCTACCCAGCGTGTTTCTAACTCGCCCCTTTTTCATGCAATATTTATCTTTTTCAGTTTGTAGCTTTGTATTCCACATCAAAGAGATAGTATAAAGCACGGATAAGAGAAATTAAACCAAATCGTTATGTGAATTGAAGATAATTAATTCAGAATATATTAATAGGCGTTATAACATGTTGCAATATATTATATAGACATATTTTTTTCTAAGATGATTCATTTAATTTTCTAATAATTAATCAAATTTTATCTTTGATGTATCGATTATTTCTAAATATTACAGAATTTTCTTTAAAAAAATTTAAAATTTTCTCATCTGCTACAAACCGATTTTTCCAATCTGCATGTTTGTAGTGTTTTGAAACAATATTACTCCATGCACCAAAAAAATTTCGTTATTTAAACAAAATTATTTTTTTAAGTGAAGCAGATTTTTGTAGATTACAGATTTCATATAAAAATTTTCCTCTCAACTTCTCTCTTGTTAAAACTATTCAAATAAGCCAAATTCATGCGCGTATGCGACTGATAAAATTAATATAATATATAAATAATAAATTGCTCACCCGAAGATTGCTGCGCTGGCGTCCGATATTTCCTAGGCCTGCTGCTCCTCTCTGTTCTTCCTCTCAAGTTGTTAGGGTTGTCAGGATCCGTTGACTCGCATGTTGCAAAAACTTCACAAAAGTTCACACAAAAATTTATGCGACATTTTGAATGGCACTCCCGCACTTAAACGCGCGATACTTTAGACGGCACTCCCGCACTTAAACGCGCGATACTTTACACGGCACTCCCGCACTTAAACGTACAGTACTTTGCACGATATTCCCGCATTTAAATGTGCGACACTTTATATGGTACTCGTAATTAAACGCTCGACATTTTGCACGCTATTCACGAATTCCACAATCGCAAAACCGGCAATATCTTGAATACTTGGCTTTTTCTTTAAGATAAACCTTTCAAGGTGAACCTGTTGACAGGATTATATTATATAATTTTGTGTAATATAATATATAATTAGTATTTATTTTATAAATAAGAGATTGTACCCCCCTATATATCGCACTTCTTTTTTCCTTAATGAACAGTGATCAAAAAATTCACTTTTGTAATTATAAAATAAATTACAAGATATATTATGTATTGTAAAATTATATAACATAAATGCCGAATGTGTTTGAAATGTTCAGAAATTAATTAATAGTCAATCGATATTTGTTCACGATACGAAAATGTATTCGAATAGAAGAAATGTATATGTATACAAATACAATATTAAAGAACTAATTATCACTTATAAATATATCGCAACGATAATTAATAATTCTCCATATCACATTGATTCTATTTCGAATAAATTATGCGAACAATTTACGCGAAATATTTAATTCGATAAATCGATTGCTATTGTCTTGAGATAAGTTTATTTCCGAATCCTTAACGTGGAGTTAATTAATTATACGGCCTATTCGCTATTATTAACTGTGCAAAATGTTCCGTTTTCTCTCCGTACATGTCTCTACCGTGTCTCGAAAGGTAATAACACGATAGCACGCACAGAACGGCTGGCGACCTTCTCGCTCGGTTAGAGCGCTGATCTGCCGCGCAGAGGACAACACACAAGCGTCGCGAGTGTCTTACATTCCTTTCTACAATAATATGTCGAAAAAAACAGTAATATATATGTATATATATTATCATCTTCGCGCCACACGTACAAGAAATATTTAACACACATTTATGAAATATTATGTGTTCTCTCTCTCTCTGAATTAGAAATGAATGATTAATAAAAATATATCACAGTTTTTCTTTATTTTAATCTCTCAATTTGCTTGTTATTCTACAATCAAAAAATAATTAACAAATTAGATTTAAATCGATGAAAAATATATGACTTTCTTCAAATTTATTAAAAAAATAATCATCATTATATATATATATATATATATATATATATATATATATATATATAATAAAATAATATAGACCTACTTAGTGATATATTTATATTGATAATTTTGCTACGTTTCAAATAAGTTCTATTTTAAATGAATATCATACGAGAAATATTTGTTTTTATGAATAACCATCATTTTGATATACTTAATTTATCAATCACATAAATTAATTAATCGCGAATTTACGTAATCTCTAATTGTTCGTAGAAAATAATTCGTGTATAATATATATGTATATATATGAAAATAATTCGTATATATATATGAAAATATATGAAATATTTGTATATATATATGAAATATTTGTATATATGAAATATTTGTATATATATATGAAAATAATTCGTGTATAATATATATGTATGTATATATATATTTTCTAATGCTTGTCCCAATTATATCACAAGACAAATCGTATCATATTACGATGATACATGAAAATAGAAAATAAGTGCTAGATTTTGTAGCATGTAATGAAAATTATTATCGTTTTTCAAGTTTATATTTACTCTGGACCATTTATATTTGCTCCGGACCATTCTTATAATTAATGTCTTAAGATTTTTGCGATAAGAAAATAAATTTATATTTAAAGAGAAAATAAAGTATTCTTTATTCTTATTATTTTTATTATTATTGTTATAAATTAATATCTTATTAATTGTTTATTATATATTATTATTATTATAAAATAATAAACATTACAAAATATAACAAATTTATGTTTGGCGTTTTGGTAGAAACATTAATTGCATTGCAGAGTGCGAAATATACACGTTACAACACAATGGATTCCTAATATGCAATTCATTAGAACGATGTATAAGAATAGTATTTTGTTAGATTTCAGATATTTTCAAGTTTTTGAATTATATCTAGGAATTATTCTGTTATTATTCACATCGAAATATAACAAAATTATAACGAGAAACTTATTAATTTTGTTATGGTTCGATAAACGATAAATATGTTGTACGAGGTTCGGAATTGCTATTCGTAAATATATATGATGATACTATAAATTAAAATTTCTCCATTTCCCCATTGCTTAGATATCTCATCGTATAATACAAATATGCAAATATCTAAAAAATATTTTTTTGACACCTAGCCAATCCGTCTACACTCATCGTCCTGAAACTTAGTTCAAATGCTCCCTGCAGGGTGCAGATAGCGAAGTCTAAGCCGAGGTCACAGAATGAGCGCATTACCCATAAGCGTAAGCATGTAATAAAATCACAAAGCTAACGACCGAAAGATTCTGGCAGAACAGCTTGGCGAGCAGAACAGAACAGCGCGAACCATCCGAGGCCGGATTCCCGCGATTCTCGCACAACACGAAGGATTCGATAAACATTTCCGGATGTATTCGAGAGGAGGTCGACTATTGCGCGATTTGTCTATCATCTAGTAATGCAACCGAGAAATAAGATTGTGTTTATTTGGTTTGAACATCGAGGCCTCGTGGGAGGTCCATTGCAAAACGATCGAACGTTATTTCAGATAAAAACGATCAAGTTTAACTGATATCCGTTATATCCATTCGCTCGCGAGTTTTTATATCCTAATAATTAAAATCGAAAATACATCGAGGCTGATGGTTTTCGAAATATAAAAAATAAAGTTTTTAAATATCTCAAAAACCATTTCCAGAGATATTAAAAATAATATTTCTGTGTGCGTACGAAAATTTGGCCGAAATTGATTCGTTCGCGTATTCGGAATCGCCGGAAAAATTTACTTCGGACGTGTACCGGCTAATAAAAACCGTCGCACTCATGGCCGGCGGATTTGTAGTGTAAACTCTTCAAACGGAATTGCCAAGAGTTGTTTTTCAACAGGCAACACAAGCTTCCGACAAATGTATCCGACTACCATTCTAGCAATCGACTTCGAATTTTCGAGTATTTCGAGAGGCGGACATCCACTTTTGCATAATGTATATTTACCTACCACCAACTTCGTTCGGATTTAGCGTTCGCTTTTCGCGTATTTTTTTAGCGACATGCCAAATAAGCGGCAACATGTTGCTCTTGTCTCTCTTGAATGCATTTTCAGGAAAAATCCGCAACTCTCCGCTCTTTGGCGTTTCGCGCCCTTTTTCCCTCCCATTCGACCTCCTCTCGCACAGTCACCGACAGGTTTAATTACGTCCTGCAACTTTCCCTCCCCCTCTCCATTGCTCTGCAATGTCTGCCCCATTATTGCCGTGCGAACATCTGCCGCGATAAAAGCAATAGCGTCGGGAAAAGCACCGGGGCTCTGTCCGTGACTCATCGTTATCGAAAATCGGAAAAGGATGTGGCAGAGAGAGCTCTAGCACTTACTTAAAACAGAAAAAAATAGAATATTATTACAAAACGACATGTCAACGTAACGTGTCAACGTAATGTAAATCGAAAGATTTTTTGAAGATAAAATATTTTTGATAAAATGGAGTAAAATATAACTTATTTTATTTATTATTGGTTAATTATTATAGCGAGAGATTGAATCGTACGTTTATTTCCGCAAAAATTTAGTTTTGTTCCACAGATTTTAAAATCAGAACCGTGTTATTTATAATTAATTCTATAATATAAAGCATATAAAAATTTATAAGATTATATATTTCGGGATATTTAAAATATTTATATTTCCGGAAAGAAAGAGAATATTCGTGAATTGAACAAGATAAATTTTTAAGAGTTCTTTTTCTATATATAAAAGTGGATCAATGAAAATATATTCGCAGTGGATAAATGTCGATGTTCCATATTATCCGACAAGGACGCATTCACGCGGCCTCACGGACGTCGACGACGGTCGGAAAAATCGTCTCAGGGCCAGTGGGCGCGTAATAAATTCAACGGGGCCGCGTATGTGCCCCGCGGCCTAATGTACACACTGGTTTGCAATGAGAGTTCGAGCTCATTCGTACTCACAAGCGTTGCGGAGAAGAGGGATCCGTACTATGCGTGGAGAGAGGGTCAGGCAGGCAGGCGCGACGTGTGAGGTTTTTCACGCGGTTCACCTGGACGACTCCGGCCGAGGTTTAAGTGGGTGTCCAAGAGATAAGCGGCCACGACTGGCATAACAGCTCGATAAACTCTTATGTTTATTGGATCGCCTTGGCTCCTTTTCCCCTCTCTCACTGTCTCGTTCCTTCCCGATTCTTTGTCCGGCACTTTCCTCTCTTTTTCTCTTTCTCTCCGGCTCTCTCTTTCCATCTCTCAGCACCTTCTTCTGTCCCTTTCAATCTTTTCGTCTATCACCAAACCTTCCTCTTCTCCGGTTCGTGGCTCTGCCACAGTTCTTTCCTCACCCCTCATTCGTCTCCTCTTCGTATCCTACCGTTTTTCCACTCGACTCTTTACTTCGGTTGTTAACCCCGAATTAGTGACTTCGTGGACATGAAAGATTCCCAAGCCGCGGCTTTTAATAAGACGGCTGTCTGTACATCGCCAATTGACGCTGTACGTGGCGCGCATCCATCTAGATGATATTGTTCTGTTGATAAGCAAATAAGAATGTGACGTTTCGCGGTTCTAATTTGCTGCAGAAAGTATATACTTGACGATACTTAACATATTTCGCGTACAAAGTGCTCAAGAACATCTGAGAATACTTACAGACGGTATCAGTTAACGCTTGACAGGATTTCATGATTCAATAAAAATTTCTTTCATAGAACATTTCTATAAAATTACACGATAGCATCACCATGTGAAATATATGAAAAGCAACTGGCCGTATTATGTTCATGGCATATCATCGAGATGCCACCAAGTAACTTATCAAAGCAACAGTTATCCAAGCAAATATATTCAAATTTATTCAAATGAATAAGTCGTGTGGTAAAATTTGACTTAAATGTGGTAGATTAAAAAAGATTATTCACGGTAAATATTTCATCATTATTATCCTATAGCATTAGCACGGTGCAACCGAAAATTTGCGAAACACATATCCTTGAGGATACATTGCCAGGCGGTACGCTATCCGAATCGATAGAACATATACCGGTTTC